TTTTTTTTTTTTTTTTTTTTGCTTTAAAGCTGTGTCTCTGGAGCAAATTACTTCTCTAGATCTTCATTTCCCATTCTACCATATGATAGTCTCCCCTTATCCATGGGGAATACATTCCAAGATTTCCAGGGCAGTTGCTGCCTAAAACCATAGTTAGGTACAAACCCTGTATACACCATATTTTTTTTCTATACATATATAACTGTGATACAATTTGATTTATAAATTAGACAAGTAAGAGATTGACAAAGGTCACATAATAAAATAGAAAAAAAATACAACAAACACTATAGTAAAATTACCAAAGTCACTACTCATTAAATAAAATAGAGGTTACTCGAATACTAACAATGTGATACCACGAGAGTTGATCTAATGGTGACTAAATGATTGACAAGCAGGTAGCTTATACAGTCTGGATATGCTGGACATAAGGATGAGTCACATCCTGGGCAGGGCAGCGAGAGAAGTTATCACATTACTCAGAGCAGTGCACAGTTTAAAATTTATAAATTGTTTATTTCTAGAATTTTCTATTTAATATTTTTAGACCACAGCTAACACAGGTAACTGAAATCATGGCAAAGGAAATCCTAAGTAATAAAGGTGTTCTTAATGAGATCTAAAGTATCCCCCACGAGATGCACTGTGTACAAGGCTTGGTTGCCAGCAGACAGGCTTTGGGAAGTGATTGGTTCTAAAGGCTCATTAAGTGGATTAATCCACTGATAAATTCACTAGCTGAATGGGCTTAGTAGGGAGGGAACTAATTAGATGAAGCAGGTCACCAAGGGTGTGCCCTTGAAGTATATATTTTGTCCCTGGCCCCTTCTTTTCAGGTTCTGCCTCTCTGCTTCCTGGCTGTCATGAGGAGCAGAGCTTTCCTCCACCACACTCTCCTACCATGATGTTTCTGCCTTGTCACAGCCCTAAAAGCAATAAAGCCACGGACTGAAGCCTCTGAAACTGTGAGCCAAAATAAATCTTTCCTCCTTTAACCTGTCATCCTTATGTATTTTATTACAGTGATGAGAAGTTAACACAGTGGACCTCACAGGTCTCCTTTTGGGTTCCCTTTGGCCAGAAAGAACAGGATCCTTGTGGGGATGTTTTTGTCTGCGTCTGTTGGTTGTAGACTTCTCCTGAGCCCAGCCCGGCACACATGGGAGATAAAAAGAAAACCCAGGGAACTCACCTGGCTGCTATTTCTCAACTCATGAGGGTTCTTGCCAGTCCACCTTCTTTTCTTACAGCTTTTAGGGCTCTTATCATTGTTTCTTGAAGAGTTTCCAGGGTATTCAGTTGTGTTTAGAGGAGTGGAGTGGGGAAAAGTGTCTGCTTCATCTTGTTCTGGCACCAGAAGTCAGCAGAGCGCTGTTTAAAAATAATGTTTCAGACATGTTTTTCTTTCCTGGGTGATTTTCCAGAGAGCACAAAGAATGCAATCAAAGGTGCTTTCTATGATCCAAGCTATACTCTTTGCTTTCTTACAAGAGGTCAATTGCACTAATCCCTGGTTGCATTTCTCTGAGCCTGCTCTGGATTTAGTCAACAGGATATTGAATTACTTTTGAAAACCTAAACAGATTATCACTTCTCTCCTAGACTGCAAGTTGACCAGTCACGTTAGTATGTGTGTTTCCTGTGAGCTCTTTCCATGCCTTGCCCAGTGTCCTGAATGAGGCCTTCCTGTGGGGACAAAAGGCTACAACTACGTTTCTCTAGACAGAGGCGGTAGGTTCCTTAATTTCAAATGTTTAGCTACACTAATAAAGACTTCTGATGGCTGTGTTCTCCTTGTTTCTGTCTTGGACCCTTGCCTGACACAGACAGGATGGGCTTTCAGCCCAGTGACTCTCGGGCAAGTGCTATATTAAAAACTTGGAGCTAATGTTTTAAATTAACTAGCAAAGATATACCAGACAGGACAGGCTGTGCCAACTGATAGAAAGCCCTGCCCCTCCTTAACAAAAAAAAAAAAAAAAAAAAAAAAAAAGCTGCCTTTTATACCCTTTCCTTCACCACAAAAATACCTTCTGGTTTTCTCTGGTGACCAGATAGTAGAACCCCCTAAAAATTCAACTTTTTTTTGTTACCTTTACCTTAAAGATAAGGTTTAGGAAAAAGTAAACTGGATTTAACATGACTTATGTCACTCTTTTTTTGCTCTATGTTACCTCTGCCCATTAAAGACTTCCATAAAATAAGCATATAAATACTAAGACGTATAACAAAAGCTGTTGGTTTACAAGATTTTGGCTTACATCAGTACATACAGTGATTCATATGATGCACTAATAATATAAAAATATTATATTAATAATATAAAAATATATGTTCAAATGTAAAGTAACACATTTTCAGATACATTTTATGGATTTCTTTTTCCATCCTCAAATCCCTTTATCTCCATTAACTATATCTTTAAAAATTTATTTTGTTTAAAAACATATACCATTTTCTGGCTTCACATGAAAAGTTTATTGTTTGAGTGCAGGGTAAAAAAGAGGCTAATAAATTAACATACTCTACTTGATATGGGAGCTGTTTGACTCCAAATTTATTAAGGAACTAAATAAATCATGTTGAACTAACTCGTATTAAAACATTTTATTGATTTCATAATTATTTTTAAAATCAGTATTAAGGCATTTTTAATTTTTAATTTTAATCTTAATTTTTTGAATAAAAGTGGAAGCATTGTGAGTGCCTTCAGTTCACAACATGAATGGGAAACTCACAGTCATCTATAACCTCAGCAGAAAATGTGATTATAAAAGTTGACACAAAATCCCAATTCCCCAGACAGACGTGACATGAATGGAGCCAGGAACATATTCTATCAGTCTCTGAAAATATTGTTTTCCCTCTTAAATGATAAGGCAAAAGAGGAAGAAAGCAAAATATGAAAAAGGTGACTACTGTTGCCTACCATCAACAAACCTAATGTTAGAAAATAAGAATAAATTAATTGGCTAACAAAAAAACCCCCCAGTTTTTCCTCTAGTTTCTTTTGAAGTCAAACTCCTTTTATTTTTGGAAACCTACAAATGGAGGCTTCCTTGGAAACAGATGAGTTTGGTGGAGTTTCGAAACTCAGAAGTTAAACAAGGCAGTCAGTTTCCCTGCCCTCCCCCTCGGCCCCTGTAAATAACCCCAAGCCACAGTCTGGGCCTCTCTCTGCTCTTCCTGTCCAGGGGTGGGGGCAGGGCAGGCTGGGGGTGTAGGGAGTAAGGGACAGGCGGAGAGGCCCTGGGGAGTCGGGGAGTAGGGCTCATCTCCGGTGAACCGGCTGGAGTACAGAGTGCCACACGCATGCCTGCACACATAAAATGCACATGCTAGAACCAGGCAAGAGAACCGTTTTTAAAAAGAGAAAAGAAAGAAATAAAGAGTACTGCTACATCAGCTAAAATCCAGTCAGGCTCTTTCCCTGTTTGATGTTAGCTCCCAGTCCTGGCTTGGAATTGCCCACAGCGATATTGGGTCCCTGCCCACTGGGCAGGCAGAACACTCTTCCTGCCAGCACTGGGCTTTTAATAAAACAGGACTTCGTCCCATCACCGAGACAGATCCTGGAAACAGACCCCATCCCTATGAACACCCTCCCCAAGAGGCAGCCGTCCTTGGGGCCCATAAGTTATGGGAAAACACTCCCTGGATGGTGCTCTTATGTTCACTGAGCCCTGGTGCTAGGTTGGCCCCTTGTGGGTTCTCACCCACAGCAGGATTCTTCCTGCTGCAACTTCTAACTGTGAGGCTCTGCCCAGTCTTCAGGGTCAAATAGCGTGGGTTTTAAAGTAAGGAGCTGACTTCCATGAGAAGGGTGAAGACACTTTAGGCTCATCTTTCTGTAGCCAGCTCAATGAGCCATGCCACCTGTGGTCTTGACCCGACTTCTTGCCTCAGGGTGGCAACTTTCAGCATTTGGAGGACATTCATTCTATTTGTTTTATCCCCACTTGGGATCAAATGGAGTATGTCCTGTTGGAGGCCACTGTTTCTAATTTTTTTTCCTAACTGTATCCTGTCAAAAAGTCCAGACTAGGGGATGAGACTCCAAGCTCTGAAGCTTTTGGCCAACCACATACCACCCTCTCCTTGTAGGGCAGTGGAACCATGGCTCCAAAAGTCCTCCAGGCCCCACTGTCATACACAGAGTGCTGATATGAAATGGTCCTCGCAGTAGGGGAGGCAGGCATTCAGTGGGTGAGTGGACTTGCATGACCTCACATGAGACAGAATTCCAATGCATAAGACAAGTCATTGTCATTGACAATCCGGATTCTCTCTCCAAATCTGCTCTGGCTTCCTGTATGGCTTTAAACAACTTGATGTATATCTACTTCAGTCTAAAATGCAGAGCAGGTTGGTGGTGGAGAGGAAGAGGTGCAACTCATAGCGCTGTCACTTTCTCACCTGACATCCATAGGGACATGGAGAGTCACTCACAGCACTTTTCTCCTGTGCCTCACTGTGACAGCCCAGCCAACCACAGCCAGACCGTGAGCAAGGGCCTGCTATGGTTTCCAAGACTTCCTCCAGGGCTGCCAGCCTATGGGTCTTTGAGTCTTAATCCACTGTATTTCTATTTACTTTGAAGTTTTGGGGAGGAAATGGAAGGAATTGGTGTTACAGGTGGTGTTTTCATTCCTTCTTTCACTTGACAGTTTGTGACTCTGGAAAAGAAGAGAGAGAGGAAGTCTAATAAGGGAACATCTGGGCATGTGGATGGTGTCAAAGCCGGGAATTTTGTCTCCTGGACTGCAGCCCAGATCCACTCCAGAGCAGTGGGGTCCTGGCAGGAAGCAGGATGTATGGGCCAACATCTGAGAAGAGTGTGCTGCAGGAGACCAGCCAGAGTGACCAGAGAGACTTTCAACGGCAACTTCAGAGGGAGGAATGGAAAGAGCCCAAATAAATCCAGAAAGTCAGAAAGGATGCAGCATGGCCCAAGAGTATCAGCTAAGGTTCTTGAAAGCAGAAGAAACCACACTTGCTGACTCTAGCTCAGAGGGGGACATGCTGGAAGCCATGGAGGTGCTCCTGGGGTCTCAGCTAGAGAACCAGGTTCAGCCCAGGACAGGAGCCCTCCAATGTCAAGAGCCCCATGGGAAGTGGAGCCATTGTTGCTGATTCCCAAGTTGCTCAGTTCAGCTCAGCTCAGCTCAGCTCAGGACAGCTATGGAGTGGGGCGGGGGGGCAGATATTGTGGACAATACTGAGGACACCTTTCTGCTTCCATGAAGAGATTCCACTGAGACCTGCCATTCTGTGAAGACTGTGCCCAGTGGTAGAAGTAATGCTGGCAAAGGATGTCAAGGTGGTAGATTCCAGGCTTCTTCCATGAAGAAGCCATGCCGGGCACTGTATGATAAAGATCACCTCAGTGAGTGATCAGACAAGTCCAAGAGTTCCTTTCAGAGAAACAGCAAGCAGATGTAAAGTCTAGTACAGCAGGCCAGCTGGGCAGAGTTGAGGGTGACTCCAAGGTCAGTTGCCAGGTGTAGATAACCCATCTGGGTGGCAGGTGGAAGTTGAAGGGTAAAGATAAGGCCAGTTAATTACTAGCTGTCAGGACCAAGCTGGGCAGAGCACATGAAGGAGTCCATTGGATGTCAGAAGCAGGAGTCAAAGTCAGGAATGTCCAGGCCAAGGTGAATGAGAGAGTAAGAGGCTGGACTTATGAGCTAGAGTCCAGATTCTGGTGGGGTCTGTCTTGCTGGAAAAAAGTTGCAGGTGTCTTGTGGGTGTTAGCAATGCCACTCAGTCAGGAAGGCATAGATCCTTTTGTTGTTGGAAAAGCCCATCTGCCAAACGAATTCAGAGTTTAGCATGGCACCAGTTCTCAGAGTTAGGAGTCAGGTCCACATGCGAGGTCCTTCTCCTCACCATGCCTTGCTGGGGCTGTGGCTGCCACCAATTTCGCACTGCCATGTGAAGAGATGTAGTCCTAAGTCCTGGGGACAACAGTATAGGTCTGAACCCAGCAGTGCCTAGAGTCAATTAGACCTTTGGATTCCACTTGATAGGAGTCCTTGGAAACTCTCTGAACAGAAGATTCTTTTTTTTGTGTTTAAACCAGTTTGAGTTGCTTTTCCAGCACACATAACCACAAAGCTTTGCAATAATAGGTAGATTATAATATCAATATTAAACACAACTAAGCACTTTTCCTCAATTCCCATAACATCTCCAGGAGTTAGATGGTATTAACATACCAAAAATTGATTTGTGGAAACAGTTCCTGGAGGATGGAAGCTAGGGAGTTGGCACATGTACGTAGATCCTAAGTGAGACAAGAGATTTTGGAGTGGGGGGAACAGCAAGTTCTGCTTACATAATACTTGATAACCCTGAATAATAATTTCTGT